AGGTATTATTATTATCACGATTGCTCTCAATTTACAAATGCATAAATAGGGACTCTGAGGGGTTACTTCACGGCTGGCTGGGGACACACTGGGCAGCAGGTTGGGGAGGGCTGGCTGGCGGGGAGGGACAGCCTCAGCCACTTGGCTTATTTTCCTGGGCGGAGAGGGAGGGAGCCTGAGGTCCAGGGAGCAGCAGAGCTTCCCCGGGACCTGGTGAGGCCGGCAGGGGCTCTGGGCTCCCACCACCCTCGCAGGCAGCGAGTGTCAGCCCTGTGGTGGACGGCAGACTGGCCCTGGCACACACAGAAATGCACCGACCCAGAGGCAATTTGAGAAGAGGAAAGAGTACATTTGCAACCAGTCATCCCCACGCCCCCCTGCCCCCCAAACAACCAGGCTTGCTGAGAGCATGGAACATTTTTGTGGGCATTTCTGGTCTCTACATAAGTACAGAGGTGGTTTTTCAGATGGGAAGCAGGGATCTTCTGGCTGCTGCCCGCTGTCTGGTGCCAGCCTCCACAGTGCCTGGTCAGGGCACTCTGATGTCTAGAGCCCCCAGTGACCTGCTCTGGAGGGTGGGCTGGGGAAGGGGCCCAAGGCCAGGGCGTCCTGGCCAGAGCCATTAGAATCTGTGCGACTAAACCAAGGACACAACAGTTACACCTCCCCCTTGGCTGGGAGGAGAGAGCCAGAAAAAGTGCCACGGACCGTCATGAACCTCGCTGGTCCTAAACGGGGTGGTTGAATGAGCTCATCAGTTATTCCATGGCCCGCCTCTGTGACTACCTCAGAACAAAGCAGGGGCTGGCTGAGCTCAGAATGATCAGTCACGGATGCCGTGGAGCAGGCGCTCTGCCAGGCTCTGTGTCTGGAGCTTCGAGTGCATTTTCTCATTCAGTCCTCAGAACCACCCCATGAGGAAGGTAGTATGGAAGCTCATTGTTTTAAAGATGAGAACATCGAAGCACAGAGAGGTTAGGTAATTCAGTCAAGGCCACGCAGCTAAGAAGGGATGGAGGTAAGGTTAAACGCAGACTGTCTGGCTCCAGAACACAACCTCTTTGCCATTCTAGAGTGATGTGAGCATGCCTAGGCGTGGATCCCCTGGAAATTGTGTGTTCCACACCCTCCCCTTGAGTACCATCCTCTGCTTCCTCCTGCCCCAGGAGATTGGGGCAAGAGGGGTCTTGCTCTAAACTTCAAAGGCCCTGTCTGGCTCTCCTCCCACTATGACACCCTGAGGGGTAAGAAGTTTGCGAAACCAAAGGGACACTTCCATCAGAGGCTGTGCCCTATTTTATTTATGTATTTATTTATTTTGTTAATCTTCACCCGAGGATATTTTTTCCATTGGTTTTTGGAGAGAGTGGAAAAGAGGGAGGGAAGGGGAGAGAGAGAGAGAGAGAGAGAGAGAGACATCGATGTGAGAGAGACAAATCAACTGGTTGCCTCCTGAAGGCACCGTGACCACCGCCAGGGATCGAACCTGAAACCCAGGTAAGTGCCCTTGACTGGGAATCAAACCCACAACCCTTCAGTGTGCGGGCCAACGCTCTAACCACTGAGCAACACCAGCAAGGGCTGTGCCCCATTTTAAAGCATGTTTTAGGTACGCAGGACCCAGGGCCTATGTGGATTGCCTCCCCAGGCCCATCTTTCTTAACCCAACCATTTCACAGAAGTGCACATAAGGTATATACTCACTGGAGAGTCGGGGGAAGAGAAGGGGACAGACAGTAGGTGAGGTCCCTTGCATATATTCACCATGGGTCCCGCGAATGTGAGGAGTGGGCCTATCTACTCCCACCCACTCCACTGCCTCAATGTGGAAGTCATACCCAGGGTGTCTCAGCAAGCCCTTGCTTAGAACTCAGGCCATCCGGACTGGTCCTGGCCCCTTGCTTCTTAGCGTGTGCCTTTGGGTCAGTTGCTATGGCTCTGGGACCCCCAGCTTCTCTGTTCTGGGTCCTTCTACCTTTGCTCTGGGTATTGAGATGCATGTGTGGAAGCTTTGGGAACTGGCAGGTGGGAACAGCCCCCTCCGCAGTGCCCCCCCGCATCAGTGAGGTTCCCCCTCAGCTCTCTCACTCCTGCCTGAGCCAAAGCCGATGTGTCTACACTTGATTTTCTGTGAGACTGATGCCATCGTTTTGATTCAAGTCCTGAACCTCAAGTTACTGCCTTTATCGAAAAATTCTGAAGCATATATTTCCCAATAACAGTGGATTAGAAGTCAGAGGCACAGACCAAGGGAAGAGGGGACACCTTCTCAGGCTGGCTCAGTAGGTGCTTTTCTCCACCTGTGCCTCTCAGATCTGGGTTCAAACCCAAGCCCCACTGTGGACACCCTGAGGAGGCTGGCCAGATAGTCCTTAGGGCCCTCATGTTCATTCTAGTGGATTTTTTTTCTGGAACTTGCCTGTGAGAACCAAGACAAAAGGGGTTATCAAGGAAGAGGATGGGCACATGATAACATTATGGCATGTTAAAGAATTATTTTCCTCTTACTGGAGGTGGGGTGGATTCGAAGCCATGCTCCCAGCCTGGCTGGGGGTCCTTCACTCTGGGCTTGTTCCCCTCCAGGGATGGGTGCTCTGTCTGCCAGGCTGCTCCTCCCAGCCATGGGGATTCAGTTCCACAAACACTAGCTGAGCCCATTGTAAGTCAACACTGCGCTGGACGCTGAGAGTATGGAGAGGGGTCCACCCATCTTATCACCAAAGGACAGCCGCGAAAACACTTCGCTTTGGAGGACTGTGCTGGGTGCTAGGATGGAGAAATATAATGCCTAGTGCCTCGTTTCTGGGGTCAGGGAAGGCATCTGTCGGGATCCCCAGGGCAGCCCAGGTGGCAGGTGTGGTGGGACAATGGCTGCCTCACCCTTCTTCGGCCAGGCCCTCTGCTTCTTACCTGTACTCTGTGCACACAATCAAAAGAGAGGAACGTCCCAGGCTAAAGCTGAACTCTGTAACCGCTGGTCTAGGGGCCATGGAACCTGGAGGCACACACATGCCTGAGGCTTGTCCCCTTCCCTCTTGTGTCCTGAGTAGCTGCTGCACCTACCACGGTGTGAAACCCACCTCTTGCAGCTTACTCGGTGTCTGTGTGCATCAGCGGAGCCTCAGGGGAGGTGTGCACGTTCTCAGGGAGAAATGGTCACTCCCCTATTGATTAGGCTGAAAAACTCCTGAAAAAATGGGTGTCTGAATGGGAGGAGGGTACAGGGGCATTTGTAAGCACCATGTTAGCTGGAGACTTTGACACATGAAGCCCTTTAACCCAAAGCTGAATTTTGAGATGAGGCAGCCAGAAGAGGGCAGCAGAGAGGCAGCTGGGGCCAATTGTGAATTCTCACTGAAGACAGGGAAGTGGAGAATGAGAATTATGTTGCCTGAGGGTTTTCCATCTTTTCTTCCTTTCTTCCATCCTCCGTCCCTCCCTTCCTTCCAAATGTATTCTATCTAAAGGGCATTTTGTTTTTCCTATTATTTTGGTGTTCAAGTACTTTTTTTTTTTTTTTTTTATCCTCACCCAAGGACATTTTTCCATTTTTTGTACAGATAGAGTGGGAGGGAGAGAGAGGAAGAGAGAGAGAGTGAGAGAAACATCGACGTGAAAGGGACACATCGAGTGGCTGCCACCCGCACGACCAACCAGGGCCGGGGACAAACTGCAACCGAAGTACACGCCCTTAGCGGGAACCGAACCCGGGTCTCTCCAGACCGCAGGCCGACGCTTTAACCGCTGAGCCAAACTGGCCAGGGCTTCAAGTACTTTTTTTCTGTAATGATGGTAGCTTGCAACATTTAACAATAATTTATATAATTTATTAACTGCTCACTCTATCTCAGACACTGATCTAAAATCTTTACCTACATTTATTCATTTAATCCTCAGTTATGCTAACACAATAGGTGCTGTTATTATCTCCATTTTACAGATAAAAAATGGGGCAGGGACGGACTAGGTAACAAACTCAAGATCACATAGCTGGGAGTGATGGAGCTGGAATTCTAATGTATGGACTCCGAACCACTAGGAGCCATGGGAACAGTGATGTGGCTGGGAACAGCAGTAACTCCCCTGAGATCTGGACTTTTAATGTGATATTTCTCAATTTTTACATGGTGGCTAATGGTTTGTGCATCAAAGGACTGAGACAGCCAAAACACAGTTTTAAGCTGAATCACCAACTTGTGACATGTGGGTGGATGCTGGCATTTTTTTTTTCTTAAAATAATTAAGATATAGTAAACTAAAAACCTGCTCCCCTTCTCTTATTTAAAACAAAGCCCTAAAAACAAAAACCCACTGGTCTGTGAAATCCCGGCATCTGGGACCCTCTTGCCCACACACTGGGGACGTTCCTGGCCCCCTGCTGGGAGGGTTGGACCCAGGGGCAGGAGGAGAGCATTTTGGCAGCAGTACTACAGACTTATTTCAAGATAAGAGCCCCGTTGCCACCCAGGCTGCTTTCACCCCCAGCAGAGGTGCAAAGAGCAGATGGTAAGATCTCTTCCTAACTAGGCTCTAGAGTGTGCTGAGATTTGGAAACGCACGAAGGGTATGGCTTAAACATTTCCAATTTAGGAACAATCTGCCCATATTTTACATATTATCTTAAAAATTTCACAATCCCCACAGACTTTTATGCCCTTCTTCCATGCCCTTCTGCCTCCTTTCTGCCCCTTTCTCCGATCTGGAAAGAACACAGGAAATCCAGGAGGCCTGGGTCTTGGTCCTGCCAGCACCCTGCAGGGTGGCTGTGGACGGGCCATATGCCATTCTTGCCGTCAGGAGGTTAGAAGCCTGGTTCCACTAACCTTGCAAGGCTGCTGTGAGGTAGTATGTGAACCGTTAAAAACATAAACTGCTGTCCAAACAGCTGGCCTCCCTGACAGAGCTAGTCCCCACCTGGCTCCGTGCGGAGCGGCCGTCCCCAAGGTGCACAGCCCTCGACAGGCACCACTTCTGTTTTCTCTTCCGTTCGGATCTAGGAGATGCTTCCCGGAGCCTGGCTGCCCTGGGCCTGCCTCCTGCTCCTGGCCAGGCCCAGCCAGCCCTGCCCTGTGGGATGTGACTGCTTCAGCCAGGTGGTGTTCTGCTCTGACGAGGCGCTGGCCACCATCCCACTGGACATCCCGCCCCACGCCACGGACATCGTCTTCGTAGAGACCTCGTTCACCACGGTTGGAACCAGGGCCTTCAGCAGCAGCCCCAAACTGACCAAGGTGGTCTTCCTCAACACTCAGCTCCAGCACTTGGAGCCAGATGCCTTCGGGGGGCTGCCCAGGCTCCAGGACTTGGAGATCACCGGCAGTACCTTCTTCAACCTCAGCGCGGTCTTCTCCAACCTGACTTCGCTGGGCAGGTTCACCCTCAACTTCAACATGCTGGCGGCTCTGCCCGAGGGCCTCTTCTCCCACATGGGCGCCCTGGAGTCCCTCCAGCTGCAGGGCAACCGGCTCCAGACACTGCCCAAGAGGCTCTTCCAGCCTCTGAAATACCTGAAAACCCTCAACCTTGCTCAGAATCTCCTGGCCCAGCTGCCCGAGGAGCTGTTTGAGTCCCTAGGTGGCCTGCAGACCCTCCGGCTGAGCAACAACCTGCTCTCCAGCCTGCCCCAGCGTGTGTTCGCCGGACTGGGCAGCCTGCGGGAGCTCTTCCTAGATGGCAACTCCATCTCGGCGCTGCCCCCGGCCGTGTTCTCACAGCTCTTCTGCCTGGAGAAGCTGTGGCTGCAGCACAACGCCATCGGGCACCTGCCGCCCTCCGTCTTCTCCGCCCTGGGCAGCCTGACCTTCCTGAATTTGCAGGGGAATGCCCTGCGGGTGCTGCCCGCCGGCCTCTTTGCCCAGACCCCAGCCCTGGTTGGCCTGTCCCTGTCCCACAACCAGCTGGAGACTGTCTCTGAGGGAACCTTTGCCAAATTATCCAACCTCAGTTCCCTCACGCTCTCACACAACGCCATCACTCACCTCCCCGCCGGCGTCTTCAGGAACCTCACCAAGCTGATCAAGCTCTACCTGGGCAGCAACAACCTGACGGCGCTGCCCGCAGACCTCTTCCAGAACCTGTCCCAGCTCGCGCTGCTCAGCCTCTCCCGGAACCTCCTGACCACGCTGCCAGAGGGCATCTTCGACACCAACTACGACCTGTTCAACCTCGCCCTGCACGGCAACCCCTGGCAGTGTGACTGCCACCTGTCCTACCTCTTCAGCTGGCTGCACCAGTACAGTGACAGGATCTTCAACATCCAGACCTACTGTGCGGGCCCTGCCTACCTGAAGGGCCAGGTGCTGCCTGCCTTGAAGGAGGAGCAGCTGGTGTGCCCTGTCGCCCGGGACCGCTTGGGCTTCCAGGCCCCAGGGCTAGAGGATGGGGAGCTGGGGGGCGGCTGGGACCTGGCTGCAAAGGGAAGGGCAGCCTGGAGACGGTGCACCTACAGCAACCCTGAAGGTACCGTGGTGCTTGCGTGTGACGAGGCCCAGTGTCGCTGGCTAAACGTCCAGCTGTCTCCTAGGCAGGGCACAGGCTCCCCGGGAATGGCGTACAATGCCACTCAGGAGTGGGAACTGAAGTCGAGCTGCGGCACCGTGAGCGTCACTGTGTCTATTGAGGCTCGGGCAGGGGAGCCGTAGGTGCAGGGGGTACTGGGCAGGAGTCCGGGCAGATGGCCTCTGAGGCCTGACCGAGCAAGAGGTGAGGGTACAGGGGGAGCTGAAGCTCGTTTTTCAGATGCAAAGGATGGAGGTACATGTCCAAGCTGGAGGAGGTGGAGGAGGCCAAGTCCACAACCCAGAGTCTCCTCCTCCCCGCCCTTCATTACCCCTTGGAGTCCAGGACCTAACAAGGCCTTCCTTAAGCTTTGCAAAGCACCCATTAAGCCGCATCACGGTCTGGAGAATAAAATAAGGCCACTCCCCTGGTGTTTTTCTATTATTTAATCCCCACCCACTCTCATCCCCACCCTGAAGTTCCAACCCTTAGTCAGCTGCCTCCCTCTTTGACAACCAGTTCGAAAGCCGCATGTCTGTCTGTCTTTCTCCCCCTGGAAATGGTTTTTAATCGATATAGGAGTCAACAGAAGCAGAGGCGGCCAGAGAGATGAGAACGAGGGTCTGACCGGTGTGCCGGGAACTCCTGGTGAGCTTCTGCCTCCGGGGCTGCATCCAGAGCTCAGGATGAAAGGTGCCTTGGGAGGGAAACACCCGCTGTTTGGCTCAGTCTGCCAGTCTGCAGAATCCCAGAGCGGGGGGGGGGGGGGGTGGGGGGGGGGGGGGTGGGGGGGGTGGGGTGGGGGGGGTGGGGGGGATGGGGGGGGGTTTGCGGCTGCGGCTGTTCAGCCTAGGAGAAGGCAGTTCCCTGATTAAGAAAAACAAACAACACTCACAGACAGACAATGAGATAGTGATAACCAGAGGGAATGGGGTGGGGGAGGTCAAAGAGTAAAAGGAGACTTGACTTGGGGTGGTGAACACACAATACAATACGCAGATGATGTATTGTAGAATTGTACCCCTGAGACCTATATAATTTTATTAACCAGTGTCGCTCCAATATAGTCAATAAACAAAGAAAGAAAGAAGGAGAGAGAGAAGGAAGAGCGGCGAGGAGAGAGGGAGGACAGTGAGCTGGGTGGGCCGGCCGATGCTCCAGCCTCGGTTTTCTCGCAGCATCTGGCTCCGTGCAGCGGTCACCCACTGAAATCCTTCTCCCTTGGTTTTCAGGGCACCACCCTCGTACTCAGCTCAGCCATCCTTCCGCCTCCCAGCATCCTCTTCCGTCTTCGCCTCCTCAGGTTCGCTGTCACTGGCCTTCCTGGCCATCTCTACGCTGAGGACCCCAAATCTCCGTCTCAGGCAGGGGTCCTTTGGCTCCATGCTATTTGCCTGCTCAGCGGCCTGTGTCCTGTCATCACAGTCACAAACATGTCTGAACCAAACTCTGTCCCCTGCTGCTCCTGTACGCCCGTCCAGCACACTGCCAAGCCCAGGAGCTGGGGGTGTTCTCCAGGCTCTCCTCCCCTTAACCCTCATGGCCAAGTAATCAAAAAGTGCTTCTGAGTAGCCCTCTGTCCATTTCTCCTTCCCAGCTCCCAGCCCAGAGAGGCGCTTCGTCTCCCTGCACCGAGTCACCTTGCAGCTCCCGCCTGGTGCTCCTGCCTGCGCGGGGGACTGGCCTGGGTGAAAGGCTGCGGTAGGGAAGGGAGAAAGGAATCAGATGTACAGCAGACCCTCTGGGAGCTCGAACTCTGGTGGGCGATATCGGACAAGGGCACAGGGGACAAAGACACCAGCACGATGTGTTCGGTGCTGGGCCAGCCCTGCGGAGTTCAGGGCAGGTGGAGGTCTGGCTCGCGCAGACCTTGGGGAAGGCTGCCTTTGACCCCACGCCTTGAGGGGGCAACAAGCGAGATGTGTGCAAGGAGTGTGAGCCAAGGAGGGACAGGCAAGACGCGAGGCCAAGGCCGTGAGTGTCTGCAGTGGCTCCTGGTGGCAGGAAAGGAGGAGACAAAGCTGGAAAGCCAGCTGGAGACAGATGCTGTGAGACCCTGAAGGACCGAGTGAGCCGTCTGGGTGGTCATTAAGGACGCCTGGCAGTCACTGAAGGACTTTATGCTGAGGAGGTCCACGCTCCTGCCCGTGCTTTAGACGGTTGGCCGAGTGCCCCTGAGGAGAGCAAGAGGCAGGGAAAACAGTGAGGACTCTTGTCTGACTTGAGATCAGAGCCACAAGGGCCAGACACTAAGGACATTGAAAGGTTGAAGCATCTGAACAGCGCGTACACGGATGCTTTAAAAGACCTCAATGTGAATTCAAACTCTACAGGTATCACTTTGTACCTCTTAATCTTACAAAAATGAGAAAACTGGATCACATCCAGTGTGGGCCAGGGTGTGGGCATAGGGGGCCCTCCAGGTACTGCTGGTGGGCACAGTGTCTCCAAAGACACTCTAGCAGGTCTGAGTCAAAGAAAGGGTTTGCTGAGGGGTGTCAAGGGCTGGGTGGGTGGGGTTGAAAGATGGGGGGTGGGGAGAACCCTGAAGTGAGTCTCAGGTTTCTTACCTGGGTGGCAGGGAGGACAGTGAAGCCACTGAGCAAAGACAGGAGCAGGTTTGAAGAAAGGAAGGAGCAAGATGCCACTTCAGACAAGAAAGCACATTTCTCCCTCATCTCCAGTGATCACTTTTAAAAAAAAAAATGTTTTAGTGATTTTTAGAGAGAGAGGAAGGGAGAGGGAGAGGGATAGAAACATCTATCGGCTGCCTCTTATATGCCTCCTACTGGGGATGGAGCCCACAACCTGGGCATGTGCCCTGACCAGGAATTGAACTGGTGACCTCTTGGTCCATGGGTCAATGCTCAACCACTGAGCCACACCATCTGCGCCCCAGTGATGACTTAAAAAACACACATTTCCTGAGGCTCAAATCAATTCAACTCTAAGGTGATGGAAGGTAGTTCAGCAGGTTCACCAAAGGAACAAACTCTCTGTCCCCAATTCATTTGGTTCAAGTCCCAGAAACATTTGATTTAAGAATAACCTTACCAGATCATTCCAAGGTTGGGGAACTTTGCCTCCCCAGGAAGGCCGAGGCCCTGAGCCACTGAGCATCCTGTAAGGCCGGCCCCCAGTCTTCTGCTCTCACTGGGCAGGTGTGTGGCCGCATGAGGCTGCTGGCCTCCAGCTGGTGTGAGGCCCCCTGTCGGCGGGAAGCGGCTTCACACCTAGCACACACAGGCGCCTCACACGTCTCCAGCTCATGGTCCAAATAGTTACACGTCTACTGCTGGGAATAAATGAACAAGATAATTGAGCATACATTTCTCTTAGTTATATATTCCCCCCAATTATAACTCTTTATTAAGTGAAAATACAGTACTTTCTCTCTGTGCCAAACGGTGTCGGGGAAAGAGCACTGGCCGGCAGCCAGGGCTTGTGGAGTCTGGCCTGGCTGCTTGTTCTCCCTTTGCAGTGCGCTAGCTGAGGCCAGAGTCACTGTGCGCTTGTAGGTGGGAACGCCAGATTTAGCAAAGAAACATACGTGTACTGCATGGGACATGCTTATACTAAAAACTATACACAGTTGCCCTGGCCGGTTGGCTCAGCGGTTAGAGCATCGGCCTGCAGTCCGGAGAGACCCGGGTTCGGTTCCCGCTAAGGGCATGTACTTCGGTTGCAGTTTGTCCCCGGCCCTGGTTGGGTTCTGCGGGTGGCAACCACTCGATGTGTCCCTTCACATCGATGTTTCTCTCTCTCCCTTCCACTTTATCTGAAGAAAAAATGGAAAAATGTCCTTGGGTGAGGATAAAATAAATAAATAAATAAAAATAAAAACTATACATAGTTAATTTGAAATCCAAATTTTAACTGGGTAGCCAGTATATAATCTGGCGACTCAACCGCCTGATGAAGGTGGAAAAACAATGGGGTGGAGGTGAGGGTGGTGGACGGTTCTCCTTGGGGTCGGAGGCCAGGGCAGATTCTGCAGCGGGAAGTCCTGACCACTCAGGGGTACTGGGATCTTAGGGCAGGAGGCGCCCAGCATCCCCCAGCTCAGACTGAGGTAAGCAGGTGAAGGGTCAGCTCTGAGCGTGCCATGCACCCCAGCGGTCCCCAGGGCCTGCTGCTGGCTCCTTGTGGGCAATCCCGGGCTGGTGCAGCTGTAGAGGTTTGGATGAGCTCTGGAGTGGAAACCAGGACACTTGGCTCCTCCCTTCCTTAACATTTAGTTTTTGGCAAAGCATGGCTCCTTTCGGGCCTCGGTTTCCTCATCTACATAAAAAGGAGTTTGGTCTCATTGCTGAATGAACGCTAGATCACCTGGGGAGGTTTAAAAAACCAACAACAGTTGCCTGGACCTTATTCCAGAAAGTGATTTAATTGGCTTGGGGGAGACCCAGATATTAGCTATTTAAAAAATCTCCCCCAGGGATTCTAATGCTCAGCCAGGATTGAAAACTCAGGGCTCAATTCTGTTCAGTTCCAGGCTGCACCACTATCTGTAGCTCAGACCCAGGCAGTGGAGCCAATGTGTCAGACACACCTGGTGTAATGCTCTGGATGAACTCATGAAACAAAAGAAGCCACAACACTGAAGATAAAAATATTTTATAGGTGTTTTTCTTATTGATGTTTTTTTATCTTATCATCTTTGTGTTCTCAGTAGATTTTGAAGAAAGAACAAGCTGAGTACATGCTGTCTTGTTCTCTTATAGTATGAGGACGCCTGAGTCATTCCAAAGCACCTCCTTCCAGCAGGTGGGGCTCCTTACCTATTGCCTCTAATGTTCACCCTTCTTCAGTGATTCTCTGCCACTTGCCAGCAGTGTAACCCTGGCCAAGTTACTCCAGTTCTCTGTGCTACAGTTGCCTCATTCATACTGTTTATCATGTGCATAATAGTAACACCCACAGTGTTACTGAAGAATAGAAAATATGTGCATTCTTGTAAAGAACCCCAAACAATAACACATGGTATGTTCTCAAACACACACACACAAAACCAAACAGTATCTATTATGCCATTATTATTTCTAGAGAAGTGTGGTGGGTGTTGAGGGAGGCAAGAACTGGCCAATTGCTTGGCCATCACAATTTTTAAAAATATGTTTTGTTTTATTTTATTTTATTTTTT